AATTGCAAATTCATTAATGGAGCATTTCTGTATTTTTACCCCACTTTTCACTACATAAAAATGGAAGCAGGAAATGTTTATGTTAAGAGGTTAGCTTCCATTGATGCATTTATGCAACACAAATACATATTAAGGGCATTCCAATGGAACAATCTGATTCTTCTGTCCTCTAGTAAAATTAATATTTGTTTAATGAAATTGCATTTTACTAGACATCACAGAGCCTAAAAAAGATTTGATTTGCTAAAGCATGTACATATTTTTTGTATCTATGTGTTCATATAAACCAAACATCTACAGTTCAGTTTTTTTTCACTATCGTCCATTGACAGGTGAGACAACACTCCCTTCTTGTAAAATATATAATACAGCTCAGTACAGACAGGATTTTCAGGAGGCACAAGAATACTCAGAGATTCTGTGATTGGATTCACTTTATCTATTAATCTTTGACCCAAATCCTAGAATGCTTTTTAATATTGAGACTTCTGTTATACTTTTAATTTTTAATTTTAGAATGAATATAACTCACATGTTGATACTAGTATTAATAACTGTAATAATAACATATTTTTAGCAATATCTAAAGACTACTGGCTCTCTCTTGGCTCTTAATAGAACTTAAACCATCTTAAAAAATAAAACCTCACAGAACATTATCACTATTTCAAATTGTAAAATGTCCTAATCTTCAAATTAGCCATGGATATTTCCATATTAAATACACTATAAGTCACTGTGCACCATGACGCCAACAGAACTGGCTTTAAACCAGCAAATGCATCTGATAATATTAATTTCCATTTGCGTTCCAATCATTAATCCAAATTAAAAACCCATTAAACCAATAAGAAAATCAAAGGGCTTAGGGATTAGCTGTGACCATATCCTGAAAGTAACTGTACTGAAGTTATGCTCAGCCAGTTAAAGACTATCCCAGTTCTATAAATCAGGATCATATAGTATGTCTGAATCCTAGGAGAACAGCAATGTACTACTTCCTACTCGTACCTCATGTGACAGTAGAGAAGATGGGCCTATACTCCATTTTCAATGAAGTGTCTGTAAATTAATTTCGAGATTTTTATTTCATCTTCTTGAAAGTCTTGTAAATCCCTCTCTCCAACCCTTGCTGTGCATACAAATACGCTCATATTTATATTGAATGGGCTAAAAGTGTATTTTCATGATATTACACACTGAGGCATTAAAAAATGCAACAAATGCCATGGGTTCCAATACTCATTTGTTGTGTTTTTAATGCCTCTCAGGAAAATTATTTATTGTTTCTAATGAAAGACTTGAAGTCACATTTTAGCCCCCATACTGAACAGCGCAGACATCAATCATTTGAAAGCCCACAAACTACAGACATCTACATAATGTCTCATTTGAGTCTATCTACAGTGGCAGAGCCCTACTGAGGTGCCGCACAAGTGATTGATTCCAAATGTGTTTTAGTCCCTGGAAAGTCTCCCGCATTCTTTCACCATCGCTATTAATATCCTTGCATTCCTTATTTATGATTGCCATGCTTCATAAACAGACTGAAATACCCAGCCGTTCACTTAATTCTGTTTTCTCTGAATCCCTTGTCAAATTTCATCTTGCATTCTTCAAATACATGGGCGTTAAAACTTGCCCACGTGATACTACAACTCAAATCCGGAACTTTTTTTTCCAGAATTTGAGCTAACAGTGATATCCCATTTGTTAAAAACCAGGTAACCTTGCTGCCTTTTCATAAAGAGATCATTGTTATGGTGAGCCTCTTGGCTTCAGTTGCGTTTTTCATGAAGTCGGCTAACTGGGAATACACATCATGGTTGAAAACACAGCAAGTCTCTTATTTTAATGCATTAAAATGAGTAATCTTGTTTTCATGCATAAAAAATAAGGCCAGCAAACATTAAATTCAAGACAAAACAATTGCTACAGAAACCTATGGATAGCAAGATTAATTTGATTTCTATGTGAGCAGGTAGGTGGGAGGCTATACAAAGTGCTACAGTATGACAGGAAGGACTGTGCTCTATAAACTAGGGCTCTTGTCAACATAGTGTAGTAATTAAAGTTAAGAAAGGTGAGAATTTGGTGGGTGGAACACAGACGTCTGACAGTGACAGGAAGGGTACAGAAAATAAGGGCTGCTTATTCGCACCTCCTAATTATAAGATTGAGACAATACTGAAAAACCAAACACACTCTATGGCGGCTTTTATGTGTTTCACACATAGCCATTCAACCTGTTATCATGTTGACAAAGCTTATTTAAACAGTTACTGAAAACTACGGTGGTTTAAAGCATACACAACAAGAATTATTATCTTTCTGTTCAGAAGTGCTCACATGGAGAACGGAGTTAAATAGTGGAGTTCCTTATGCTGGCCTTATTTTGTCTTTGTTTTTTTCTTGAATCAGAATCAATTTAGCCTTTCTTCGCAACCATTAATCTCAAAGCTATTTTGAAGTCTGAAAACAAAGTAACAGACGGGAAGTCTCAAACAGATCGGCCTGCTTTAAATGCCTGCAGGGATGAAACAATCCAATACAAGCATACCACAAACAAGTAAATTAAAAATGTGCTCAAAAACCTCTAATTTGTACTTTTTTGAAGTTTAAAAATGTAGAATCTGCAAGTCCCTCAGTTCCAGAAAAAGCACTGAACCAATTAATATTCATTACTCATGCTGGCTGCTGCTTGTGTTGTGCATAAAGTCAGCACTACTGAGTTTAAAAGGTCCTGAAACCCACCTGTGTATTATATCAGAGGAATACATTGTTTCTTGCTCCCCAGGCTTCTTTCCTTCATTTCAGATGACCAGTCAGACCCTAATTAAGGTGGAGTAGAGCCTTGAATTGAATAGTACTGTAACTGTTACTGAGGTACTGTAACTCATCTGGGAGAGGAGAATGGCAACCCATCTGTAAGGAAGGGGATGTCGGAAGCTAGGTTCGCAGAAGTGGGAGAGATTAGGATTTGACCTCCTCCTAAACTTTTGTTTTAAAATCCTTTGAACATACAGTTGTATTGTAGTCCTCTCCTGCCGCTCCTTCCTCAGAAACACAGCCCCTAGGAGAAGCTGGGAAAAGCAGGAGCTTGCAGCCCACATCTCAATTCCAGAACTGTGCTTAATAGCTTCTCCAAAATGTGTCACATCCCATTTTAGTCTTCACTGCAATTCAACACCTTTGCTTTGTACAGGCTCTTTGTTGTCATTTTTTTTTAAAAGCGAACGAGGTACACGGGATAAATGGAGGTATGTCATCAGCTCTCTATATTAAAACATCTCTCTGCCCTCATATCCCATTTTTATTCTCGTCAATGAGGGATATAAAGTACTGACAGCTGACAGTTCTCCTTTATGTGACACAAGATTGAAGAAGCTGATCAAGAAAGACAAATTTTTAAAGAAAACCCTTGCTTTCCATTGTCTTTGTACTGTAGATGCATCCCAACAAGCCCCAGAATGCAAATTCGCTGTCTTTCTCTCTCAGACACACTCTCCTCTTTTTTTGTTATCCAAATGATTAACATGTTTTGACAGCAGCTGACCATGTCTAATAACGACAGCATTTTTGAGATAACAACAGGGTAGGATCCTTTTTATTGTATAATAAAGCAAATTTATTACAATACTTCAAGTAGCTGAGTTAAAAAGTGTTTCAAGCCACAGCTTCCAAAACAGCAATCTCCATGCTAATTAAAAGACAAAGCTGCAGCCACTAAATATAGCAAGAGCTGTAAAAGAGAGATCAATTATGGCATCCCAGAGGGAATTGCTGAAACTGTTCTTTAGAAAAGAAATAAAAAAGGTGTTGGCATACCCATATTAGAAAAAATGTTCTGCTGGCTGTGCTACATGAAATAAAATCAATTGATGAACATGATTCTCTGTGGTCGGCCATTTCCAGCTTGCCCTATTGTCACAATTGTGTTTTGAAACTGTCTGTCTTGTTCTGCCTGGCAAAGCTCTTTTATACCATGCAGGTAATGTAAATCAAAGGATATGAATCAAAAGTGCTTCATTAAAACTTAGTTTCCTTTTGTCAAATTGTTTCCCAATATATAAAAAAGTTAAATCGGAACCTGCTTCTACTCACAAGTACCTTTGGAGACTAATGATTGATTTTCTGTTGTGGGTTATACTGTACAACATGACTTTACACACAGATAATTCTCCAGGTCTTCCTCTAATATCCCTATATAGGCATTTCGTCAATGTCATGTACACACTAATCAGATTCACAACAGCAATTACAAGACGTTCTGATAAAGAGTCGTTGAGCCCTGTTTCCAGAAATTCAGATTGGTGACTAACCCTGCTTTCTACAATACCTAGTGGTGGGCATTCTTTGAAGGGTAAACAAAAGTGTTAATAGGGTTGGTAAATGTGTAACCTTCCAGTTAAAGCATTGTTTATACAGTAGGTGTTTTTGCTTTCGTTCTCTTATTCTGGGGATGTGCTGTTTTTTCTCACATAGTGATGAGCTATAAAAGCTGCACAAGACTGTCTGTTTATAGAACTCATAAACACCATGGCTACCCAAAGAGACTCTAAAATCAGCACTGATCAATCACGCCCTCCATTAAAAGCCTTGCCAGCAAGCCACAGTTAATAACAGCTTATGTCAGTACTTCCAAAGCAAGGCTTGCCTCTCCTTTCTGAAAGGTCCATGGGCTAACTCCTTCACTCCTCTTTCTCCTCTAAAATGAGGAGTCCGTATGGACACACAGATACACTGATCTACTCCAGATCGACAGAACAGACTCCTCTGTATCACAAAAATTAAACTCTTCTTTATAAAGTCTCTAGAATCTCTAGCAGGGTGTTAGAAGGCTGTAGTCTATATATTCAATGATGATTTATATTAAAATGTTTTCTTTTTCGCAAAAACCCAGAAACCCGCATCTCTTCCCCTTTGAGCTTGAAAAAAACATACTTGTAGAGTGGTGTAGAACAGGGAGCATCATGGTGGCTAAGGAGCAATCAACTTACAGTAGACATCAACCCGGATGGACTTAATAGCCGGTGAGCCCAGCCCGTTTTCTGCCTTGCAGTAATAGCGCCCCCCCTGGTGCCTCAGGATTTTGGTGATGCGCAAAGTCTCGTTGAAGACGCTGGAGTCCTGGAACCGATCGGAGGCACTTCCTGCTGTTTTGGTCCATCTGATCTGAGCAAACAACACAGACAAGAGATTTATTCAATATGGCCTATACAGCAAGGGAAAGTCACCATAGTGTATGTCAGCATATGTCAGTCTGAAACAGTACATGCTCGAGACGGCCCCTCATGATGCAACGTGTGTCCACTTTCCTTAGGCCACCCCCCAGGGGTGCTGATGTGTGTCATCCAGCTAGCCAGGTCCTTGGCAGCAAAATCTGCCACCTCCAGTTACATTCACAAACTACAGTTAGAAAACAATGCTTAGAGACAGCTGTTTTACTCCAAACATTATTTATTGCGGCCATGTACGCTAAATGTGGTCTTGTTTAAACTCATTAAAAACATGAAGAAATAGCTCTTTAAAGGGAATGAATGACAATATGCTTGGTGAAAAAAATAACATGGGATACAAGCACTGCACAGAAACGTTCCAGCACTGAAGCATTCCAAATTGAAGCATTAAAAAACACAAACAAATCAAACCACCTTAAACAAGCAATACAGTATGTTAAAAAGGAACAAATTCCTTCCCTTTCAAAATAAAAAAAATGAATATTGGTGTATTCATAGGTCTCTCAGACCAGTTACAGAGACAAATTATTGATAGGGGTAATAGCTAAAGTTAAAGAACTGCAGTTTTCTCAGGACATTACATTAAATGTACACTTTCAGCAAAAATAACATAATTCTCTGTAATTAGATTGACCAGAGTGACTATAAATTCCAGAAGACTCTGGAGTGCCATTACAAATGAAGCACAAAGAATGGATCTGTGAAGAATGATATTTTTAATGATTTTAAAACATTTTCACACTCCTAAAATGTCTAGTCCCTTATGACAGCTCACTGCCACCTACTATAATTTTGCCAAACTGCCCTCATAACTGCTGAAGAGGTGCATGGGGGATTATTGCAGGTAGCACTGTTTTACAGAAGCCCTCCTGGCTAAGTCTCAAAGTAATTTGTAGGGCTGTCTGTATCCCTGACTTCAGGAAATTAATTTTCTACCTACTTTGAAGACATAGACATGTCAACAACAGGGAATAAAACGTAAGGCAGTCACAAATATATACAGGAGTTTTCATAGCATGTTGACTAATGGGGCTTTAACTAAGAAATCAGCTCTACGAGGCAAGGCAGGGTCAGCCTTAGATCACCCTTGGTTGTATTAACATTTCTTTCTATGGAAAGAAACTGGGTTACACTAATATAATATAAAAGTATAATACAGAAAGTTCAGTTTCTTTTCCTGTCTTAAAATCCTGTTTAATTAGCCCCCTGTTTTATGTGTTTGATTCTGGTGTTAGCCCCCAGTATTTACAGCATGCATTCTCTTTTATGTTATATTAATGTATCTTTATAGTTTCCTTAGAGTGCTAAGAAATAACACACATCACAGCGTGTCTTGATTTGTTATTTTCCACGTTCTGTTATTCTGTCTTTCAAGCTGAAATAACAAACTTAAGCTCTTATTCTCTTATGCTAATGTGATTTTGAAAGTGAAAAGACCGTGGGTGCTACAGTATGGGATTCAGTCTTGTATACTCTGTCATGTGACTATAACATCAGCTCTCTCTGAAGCAATTAAAAAAACTGGGCCTAACATGATGAAAACCACACACACTTCAACAACAGGGCTAAACATATTTAAAGCTGCAAATTACCAATTAGATGATGCCTGCAAACATTTGTGCGGAAACACGCAAAGAAAAAACGTTCTTCATTAGTCGTATTCTCACTTCTGATATGTAGTAGTCTGTGAATTGATAATGCCAACTGAAGAGTGTTACTACAGTCCCTGCCATGTGTCCCTGTGCCAGCATAGCTGAAGAGCGGAGAAAATCACTCATTCAGCTCTGGTATATACTTGCTTTGCTTGTCTGAGGCTTCCTGTGTAGATGACCTACATTGCAACAAGCCTCTCCTTTATCATTACACTCTTTAGAAACAAGGGGAGCCTGGAGTTGTTCAGATCTGCAATATTCCAGGAAACGTGCATTAGGAATACTGTGTGTGCCACCAGAGCAAAAAAAAAAAATGCTATCGCTAATCGTCACAGTTTTTTTTTTTACTTTTCTTCCATCCCCCCCCCCCCACTTACACACACATTTTAAATGCTTTGTTTGTTATTCCTTACCAAGCTGAAGGCAGCATTATTTGTGTGGCGTAAAGAAAAAAAATGCTGGTTTAGAAGAAAGCAAAAAATGCCTGGGAAGCAGCAGCCACAGACGCAGGCACACTGAAGTAGATGGCTGCCCTAACATTGCAGGGAGCACAGGGAAATCCATTTCACGCTTTGCTGAAGTTGGATGCAAAATGGCTTTGTTTACATGCATATTTCTGCTGGTTGAGAATAACGCTGCATTGGAATTCAGGGGTTTATCTTATTTCCCACTCTCTAGGGGCTCCGAGGTGCTTTGCCTTTCCATGTTAACCTTCAAGCCCTTCAGTAGCGTCAAACTAAACGTGGGGTGTCCTTGCCTTGCTGACGTGCAAGTTGGGCCACAGGATTTATACCTACCGTGTCGGACGTTTTTCAAACACGTGGCTTTCTCCATGATGAGCAGCAGAAGAAAATACACCAGCTAGGAAGACACTGAGCACCGTTTCATTTCACCAAACTCCTGACTTTTTTTTAACAAAGACACTTCGTTATTCCCTTCAAAGGCGTCTTGAAACTATAAACGCCTGTATTTATTACATATATCTTAAAATGTTGAAGGGAATGTTTATCTTTCCAACCAGATTTTGATTGATTGAATTTATTTGACAGATCAATTAAACAAGACAGCTTCAACCAATCAAGTGTGGTAGAGGGACTGAGCATTGACAAAATCGTAAGCTGAACGAATACATACATTTATATAAGACACAGTTAAGTGTGTATTATTTCCACCATCATACTGTATGGTGTAATACACCCTAAAAGAGGAATTCAGAGCACATACAGTACATGGTGTCCTCAGTGTTATGAGCAGTTAACTCTGCCTTTCCTGATTATATTTGCAGTATTGTAAGTTAGATTGATAACAAATGATCTGCATTATCAAATTAATGTACCCTTAAAGCCTGCATAGCAATAGCCAGTAATAAAAATCAATATTAACAAAAGGTTTTGACTTAAGAGAGCCATCATCCTCAGCCTGCAAATGTTTCAGACTCTTAAAATTGAACATTGCATAACTCAGTACTCTGCGGCATTTTTTACAAAATGGTTGGAATCTGGTTTTGAGTACTGCGAATTCGTGACTTTTTATGCATTAAAAACAATTGTTAAAAATAACTAAATGCCCTTAGGAAAGCCTTATTTCTGCAAAGCCATCAGGACAAAAATCATCAAATTTTATTTCAGAATAAATAATTCAGGTATTATTTTGTTTTAATATGTTAAGAAGGTTAAAAAGTCGAAACTGCAAAATTACAGGTTTTCCAATACAGAACTACTAGAATGTTTTATTCATGCCACCTGTGCAATTAATAAGTACAGTACATCACTCCTGCAATCAGGCAAATGGAAGTCATAGGGTTTACATTATTTTACTAACGTGAAAATGATATAAATCAAAGGGAGATACTTATGAATTGCTAAAAGATCATGTTGCTTTGCATAGACAATTTTATTTTATGTATCTAAGACAGCAATTCTGCTGATTGTATCCTCTTAATGATCTGAACTACAGTACATCATGTGTAATCAGCTATACTGTTTTACTTGTTTTATTTTAATGGGATTTGGAGAATTTCAACAACAATCAGGCAGGACTTCCATTTCTTTTTGTGTTGGGATATAAATTCCATGGCACGCTGGGTTCAGCCGAACACAAAATTAAGGACAATAAGTCCTTCATCTTGAAGGTGGGGAGGCTTTAAAGACCACCTGTGGGGTGGCACAGGTGGCTGGAAACATAAAACCCAGCAGAAGCATAAAGTGGAATGAATAAATAAATGAAAGTGATGGAGCTGGAATGAAAGAATTAAACTGCCTTGGTGGAAAACAAAGAAATGGCACTGCTAAGTTAAATTTCAAACAATACACCCTAATACTAAAATAAAGTCATAAAGCAGGATTATGAGACAGAATTTCTTGCAGGGTTTGGTGATGCTCTATAGATCCTTATGAACTATTATTCAGGCTGAATTGTAAAGCACGTGGGAACCTTTTTCTCTCCCTCCCTCGCTTTATGTATTTTCTGTACCTTGTTTTCTTTCTATTCCTCCATGTCAGGATTTTAGGGCTCTGGTTCTAATTAAATCAACAGCGAGATAATGAACCAGCTACAATAATTCTAAACTGTCACAGCTGAGGTCAGAATTGTCTGTTATTCTGTTTTTAAATTAAAAATACATGTTGCTGAGACATTTTACTACATATCATACTATTTTAGTAGTATGCTCCTTTCCTCAGTGACACTCAAGGGTTTTGCTTCACTGTTTACCTTTCCCATAAGCCCTGACTTGCTGCTTTTTCCTGTGGGCTAATCCTGACGTGACCACATTCCAGCAGGACAACACGTGTCCTCATGATACTCATGTAACAAAGGCTTTGTAGTGAGATGAGAATGTGGCAGTTCTGCTGTGGCTACCTGATTTGCCAGACATGGGATCTATTGTTTGCTGATAGGATGAGGGGTGACATATGAACAGTCGTATGATGTACAGGAACGGGACAGCATCTCACAAAAAACAGAATCTGCCACCTGGTGCAAAGCATCATCAATGATTACAACATATTGGTTCTAGTTGTTGCCATATACATTGATCTACTAACACTACCAGATCTACTATTGATCAGCCCTCTTAGTTACAATTGCTAATTAGTATTATTAATCTATCATTGCCAATTGAATCTCAGTGTACACGTCACAACATGATTTTGTAATTTTCCTGATATTAAAATTGTGAATGTATTGCAGTTATAAGTGATTACTGTCTTTCGATGCTCAGTAGATGAGTAGTGTACTGTACATAATTGAACAACTAGGGTGATGTAATTAGTGGAGTACCACA